TCTAATTTCCAGAGGCCAGCATCTCTCACCTGGGAAGACAGTTGACATCAAAGGAGTTACTGATGGCTGCGCAACCTGTTCACCATCCTCTTCCCTGCCTCCTGCCTGCAAAGTGGGGTCTGGCTGCAGGCTTGTGTGGTAAAACGCCCCCAGGATCAGATTGTCATGTGGACTCTGAGAGACCCCACCATGCTGTCAGCCTCTGGTGCTGGAGCCTGAACTCTTCCCAGAGTCTCACTATTGTTTGCCTGTCTGTCTGTGTGCCCATGTTAAGTAACTTCTCATGAACCCCGACTCCCCAAGGATCCATTGCAACACCTCACAGGCCCTCAACCTATGAGTCGTGACAGCTTTGGGGTTATGTATCAGATACCCTGCATGTCAGGTATTTATGATTCATAACAGTACGCAATTACAATTATGAAGTAGCAATGGCCTAATTTTATGGTTGGGAGACTATAGAATACGAGGAACTACATTGTTAGGAAGGCTGAGAACTACTGCCTTGTAGGTAACCCACCAGAGATGATCACTAGCTACAAACTGTGTCTGAGTGATCAGCTTGATTCCATCCAGCTGAGACTAGACCCAGGCATTCGGAACCCAAGTGTAGCCCTGAACATTTAGAGCAAGAGGTTTTTAAAGACAAAAGTCATGTCTTTATGTTCCTCACTCAGCAGCTGCAGGGGGAGGTTTGCACAAACAGGCAAACAGGCAGTTTAACAGATGCCAAATTAGCCGGGGCATCGTAACCTCGGAGCCTAGTCAAACCTGAAATGGCCTCATCAAGAATACAAGATGGAGGAACCTCTGCACTATCCTGCCCTCTCACAGACGTGCCTCTTAAACCCCCATCCAAGACCTTTCAGCTTAGGATGGAAAATAAAACTCAAAAGACTACCTATTGTATAATTCTCATTATATAGTATTATTAGATTGACAAAATTGGAGCAATAAAGAGGCCAGTGAGGGTGGAGGAGGCAGGAGTATGCCTACAAAGTGTGGAAAACTGTGTGCTGAGATCACTATTTGGACTTGCTACTGAAGCCATGCAGAGGTGATGGATTGAATATAATGGGCCCTACCTCTGTCCCTCAAATGGATAGAAATGTGTGTGAATGGGTGAAATCCAGGTTTATTGGGAACCTAGTATGGGTGTGGGGTTGCCAGGCTCAGCATAGACGTCACAGAAACCATGTTCCTTTGCAGTCAAAGTGAACAAGCTCTGCAGCAAAACTTTAAGGAGTTGGCAGCTAGGAGAAGGTGATAGAGACAGACCAGCAGCTGCCAACTTCGTAGAGGATGACGTGAAAGGAAGCAAGCGAGCCAGGAGTGAAGAGTAGATGTGGTGTCAAAGATGCTCTCGTTCTGCAGTTGATGGCTGTCCTTCTGCCAGTGATTGTGCCCAGAACAACTGCATGTACTGGGAATACTCATAACATTGAAAGTTTTTATACCCACAAAATATAACTCCCTCTTTGGCTAGTATTAAATACGTCAAACCCAACACCCCAAATCAAGCCTGTTTCAATTTCCACGATGAACGGTAAAGTTTAAAAAAAAGGTAAGTCCCTACGTTGTTATTATCTCGAAACCATAAAGGATCGAAAAATGACCACTTATTCAATCAGTCATTTAAGAGCATTTATTTTTAAAATCCAGACTAGCACACTTTATTTACTTACATATATTCTTGTTTATTACCAGGTATTTTCAGCAAACACATCTCTTTAAGCATCTTCATCTGCTTTAATCAAACCTTCAAAGTGGCTCCTGCTGCTGCTGGCAATCACAGCAGCCTGTCAGGGGTAAAGTACGGGGGGGGGGGGGGAGGGGGGGGGGGGGAAGGGAGGAAAAAAACAATCATGTCATGTGCTCCTCACTGTTCAGAAATGCTGAGATACTTGAGTTGGGGGGGGGCGGGGGAACGTGCATTTGTCGGGTATTAAATAAAGGCCACATTTCCAGAGCCACTCTAAAATGAAGACTGACAATCATATTGGTTTATTAGCTATTGACCAACTAATTGAATGTTGCATTATGTAAAAGTACCCAATTTTAGCCTATAGAGGAGGCATTTTTTTTTAACTTTGTGTGTATGATGTGTGTGTTTGGGGGGCATGAAGTGTGTCACAATGTGTAGAGGTCAGGGGGGTCTATTCTACCATGCGGGTGCCGGGGGTGAAACTCGGACTGTCAGGCTTGTCGAAGGGACAAGTGCTCACTGACCCATCTTCCCAACCCATTGCGAACGGTTTTAAACTGATGAAGATGGTTTGTCTTAAAAATTATAATCCATTTGAGCACCAACGATCTTTTCAGTGGAAAACTAAGCATTTCACAAATAACTTAATGAGGTTAGAGGTGCTACTCAGCATAATTCTTTCGAAGATAAAGGAAAATAAACTATAACCATCTGCCCCTAAATATTTTCTTCTCTATGTCCTTAAAAAAAAAAATACCCTCTTGATTTAACAGATGTCCTTCATGTGGCTCACAGTGAACTATTATAGAATCGTTGCTATCAGACAGTTCCATCGGGTAGGGGGAAATGGCACTTATACCCACTTAGCAGGGGAAGCAATGGGACCCATGGGTGCTGTGGCTCTTGAAAGCTTCTGATAGACAATAACAGCAATAAAGAGGTCAGTGGATCTAACTAGCCAACCAAAATGAAGACGGATGGGTGGGGCGCTCAGAAGGCAGTCAGGTGCAGGACAGGCAAGTGGACTGAATCTCTATGGAAATGAGCAGAGTGCTGTGCATCTGAAAGGAGGAAGGGATGCAAACACAGGGAGGCGCGGAGGTAATGCTATGTGGTGATGCATCCCAATTACTAAGAGAAATTGTCCTGAGAAAAGCAAAACTCATGGTGAGAAAGACTAGATCAAGGTGCTTATATTAAAGAGTCTGAATGGAGCTTTTTCTAACCTTTGGAATATGAAGAAATAATTACACCCAGGGTAAAGCAAATCTAAATGAAAAAAAAAAAAAAAACCAAACATTTCTTTTTTAAAACAGGGTATCAAAATAATGGCCTCCCTCAGGTTCAGAGCAGGTTAAGATAAAGAGAAAAGTGGCTTCTCTGTTCCTTCCCATAAAGAAACAGAAACCTAGAGATGTGAAGGGCTAGACCGTAGTGTGAAAGTTCTGCTCTGTTAAAAGAAGAGCCTAGACTGTGAGGAAGGTCCTGGGATTTCAGGGCCAGGGTTCCTTCAAGTTAACTGGCTGGCACTTAGTAGCAATATGTGCTTGCCAGGTAATCATTGAAGTAGAATGTTGGTTTAACTTGGAGAAAGAGAATGGTTTTCTTTTTTGTTTCTGTTTTTGTTATTTGAAGAAATGGTTTTTCAGGTAGCCCAGGCTGGCTCTGGACTTACCAAATAGTCAAAATGACCCTGAACTCCAATCCTCCTACATATTGGTATGTGCCACCATGCCATGTCAAAATCCATATTTGAACCATTAAATATTAAAATGATGCATTTTCTCCAAGAGATGTCTTGACGACATCTGTTTTTGTTCATGGGCTTTGTGTGTGCAACTCTCTCAATTGCAAATAAATGTAGTTGAAAAATCTGAAGTTTCAAAATCAAAGTTTTTCATTTAAATCTTCAATTTGTTTCCTTTTTAAATTAAAAAGGTGAAAGATACATTTCAAACTCATATGACAGCAAGTCTTAAAATAATGAAGGCAAAACTAATATATTACGTGTAGCAATAAACACTCTGAGTGCCTAACAGCCAAAACAAACAAACAAAGCTATTAATGTAGGCTGAGATTCACAAAAAAAAAGAGAAGACCTACCTAATCCTATCTGCGAAGGATTATAATCCATTTGGAACCTGGGGCTATGTAAAAACATCTGCTATTTCCCGGGCTGGAGAAACAGCCTTGTGGTTAAGAGCATTGGCTGCTCTTTCAGAAGGTTTGGGCTCACATTTCCAACACCAACATGGAAGCTCTCAACTGTTTGTAACTCTAGTTCCTGGGGATTCAGTGCCCTCTTGTGGCCTCTTTAGGAACCACATGCAGCTGGTACATAGATACACAGGCAGGCAAAACACACAAACATACATGACAAACAAAACAAACAAAACCTCATATTATTTCTAACTATATCAGCCTGAAGAAATTCGAGCCCTTTAATTGGATACACTTGTTAATTTGCCTCTAAAGATTAGAACCCTATTTATAATGAAAAGATGTATAGATTTTTTACAAAGGAAAAAGAAAGGATCATTTGACTAGAGAAAACTGTGAAAGCAAAGGAAAAGAAAACATGCCTAGCGTTGTTAACATCGAGCTGCAGAAAGCTTAAGAAGCTCTACAAGGTTACACAGCAGGGAAGTGTGAAAGTCACAGACAGGATGCTTCTGATGTGTTTATGGTGGCAAAGGACCAAGCATGTACCAAGCAGGTACCAAAAAGCTGAGTTCTCTAGCAAAGCGTCAGTGTCACGGGCTCTCCATCACAGACACCACAAGTGACCAGATGATAGAGAGGCTTATGTTCAAGTCCATTTCACCCTAAATGTTTTGCTGCAAGCGATACAGATTTACAGAAAATGCATGAGATAAAACAACAGTAATGTAAAAAAAAAAAAAAAAAAAAAAAAAAAAAAAAAAAAAAAAAAAAAAAAGAATAAAAATAAAAAGCCTGGAGATGACCCGGAATCTGTGATGGGGCTGTTCTGAAGCCACGCAGTAAGGGTTTGACAACTGGACACCATTAGTGTGTAATGATGGTCCATTGGGATGGTATCATCGTCAGGATCTTAGCAGTTTGCAGCATGAGCAACCTTTTTCTCCGGGTTTCAGCTTCCAGAGTTGTAAACTGACGGGCAGGGTTCAATCAGATGATCCCAAAGGATAATTTCAAACAATTCCAGGGATTCACACTGATTCAGAGACCAAGGAAAAACGAATCGGGACATAGCTGGTGTTCCTGTTCCACGCCCCCAAAAGAATAAAGTTACGCCGATTGTTAACAGTCCAGCTTGGATATAATTATTTGATTCCATCTTTACTTAGTCATAAACATTACAAAACATAGAAAAAAAAAAAAAACAACATTTCCCCAAAGTGATTCAGTTTGTGGCACAGAATACTCGGGGACTTAAGCACATAATAGAGACTACATGTATATTTTTGCAACTCAATTACAGACTGACAAATGCAATGGAAAGACAGGCAACCTGAAGATGTAAAGAGATCGAACTCCTCCTCCTGCAAGTAGAAAAAGCAGATGGTTACACACATTGAAGTGTCTTTAAAAGTGTGTTTCCTCCTTTAAGATGGCAGTGATTTTCCACCCGCACAGTCTCGCAGCACAGGCGCAGCTGTTTCTGTGGCGATCACAGCACCTGTGCGATCATAGCAGCTATTTGGTTGGCTCTGAAATCTTCCCCTTCGGCCTGAGTGGTTGAAGTTTTCCTAGTAACATCCCCAGCCTTTACCCCTAGCTGCAGTCATCCATCCCGAAATGCCCTGTGTCTGAGGCTGGGCAAGCAGGCATCTACAGGTGAATCTGGAGAAACCTTTCTACAACAAGAAAAAGGACTGAGTGCCAAGTCTGGGGAGAGTCTCATGAACCGCAGATGGTCTGCTCTTGCCGCATTTCAGGCAAGCATGCATAGGATTTGAAATGACTAATACTCAGGCTGCTGATCCCTCTCTTTGCCCTCCCTTCTGTGGAACAGAGAGATATGGAAGGAGAAATCTCAGCGTGAGCTGCCTTCATGCTCCCAAAACATCCATGAAAAGCTTATGACCTAACGAGGTGTTTCGGAAGAAGAGCCTGATAGCTGAATCTCGGTCAGGTATGCCGCGGTTCCCTTTGTTAGGCTTTTCAGAGCTACCGACAAATGCGGCTGGAATGGAATGTGTTACACAGCAAAGGTTCTGCTCTCACCACGTGACAGTCTGTGGCTCTCAGGGGACATTATTAGGCTGTTGCATGCATGAAGGGGTAGCAACCAGTGAGCACACCTGTAAAGGTGGACCCTGTAAGCAAGCAGCCTCTTTCCTTGCAATCCAAACATAATTTCAAGTTGCCTTTGTTCAATCTTTCCATCCTCCTTGCAAAAAAAGGTAAAGCAACTTCTGTCATCACTAGGGAAACTCAAAAATGTTTATTCATGGATTTTCATTTGCCTCCCTGTAGATTACAATATGAGCGCTCTACTAACAGAAAAGTGACTGGTCAAGCTGTAACAATAAATACAGGCGCACAGGTTAAATGTTTATCCTAAGCACTGTAGTCTTCCACATTGCTGGCGTCTACCCAGGTCTGAGGTGCTGGCTTCTGCTGGTGTTCCTCTAGGCAGAAACTTCTGCACAGCTCAGCAGGTCCAAGTCCAAACCTTCTGGCCCAAGGTCAAAGAGGTCCGGGTTCCGTTCTTTAGAAAATGCCACGATGGGTCTCAGTGGCTGGTCTTGAGAGATTTGACAAGACAGATCGCTCTTAGATAAAAAGAGGAGTCAAAGAGAACTTGGGTTTCCATAGAAAGATAAAGTGCTGCCCCCTGTAAATCGCAGTCTCTGTGGAGTAAAGTATCTTCCTAGAGAGGTAGAAATAATAGGGGTGTGTGTGCTGCAGATGCCCTTGTTCGGGAACAATGAGCACTCTAGCTTTACGGGCTTAAAATGGACTGACTCCACTCATCTCTCTGATTTTTTCATAAGTGAGCCAGAACACCATTGACCAAGGGGTCTGAAAGATTAACCAAAGAGGTTAGTGCACATTTCAAAGCAATTATAATAGTCTACATAGACACATATACATCTTTGAGTGACACAGTCATTTTCAATCCACTCATAAAAACAAAACAAAAAGCCTCACAAATAGCTTATTGTTTATTTCTAGAAATCACCTTGAAACTTACAAAGCATTCTCATGTCATGTTGACCACAGCTTTCTCTAAAAGCAGCTTGCAAAAGGAACAGCAGCAACACAACAGAAAGGCCAGATGTTATCCCTCTTTTACAGAGGAGGATGCGTTGGCAGTCCACTGCTCACCCGCCCCAGTGTGGAACTGGACCACGGGGTGTTTTCTACTGGCTACGGCTATGATGCGGGATGCCTTGACTTTTGAACTAAGCCGCTGTTTAATTAGATGTATAAGAGGTGAGGAAGATAAAGATCAGCCTATAAAAGCTGTGTCATAAAAAATCAATTTCAGATGTTTTGCATAAACAGGTTCACACGAAATAAGAGAAAGGAGCTCCCAGTTCAGAATGGCCTGATCTTAATCTGCCTGGCCAAAGGCACAGGAACTAGGATAAACGGTCATGGATACTAAGAAGTAGGGATAATCGGAGAAAGAGTACTTGGACCAAATGGTTTGGTTCGGATCAGTGACTAGAGATGATTTCATTCTAGAGCAGAGTTAAGCTAGTTAGAACCTAGACTGGATTTGCTAAGTGTGTTTGTAAAGGAATGCATGTGCATTCCTGGAGATTACTGAGCATGTTACATTGGCAGACTGATAATTTACCAAGTAACAGTTGGCTGATCCGCGGAGACATAGCTGAAATAAGGAGAACAAAGCTGTGACTGTGCCATATCCCTGTGTCATCAGAAACGGGGCAGTTAAGGAGGCAACTGGGGAGAGGCCAAGGAGGCAGGGGTTCCTGCTTAAGAAGGACTGGGCAGCCATTTCTAATGGTGTGGTGGTTGCCAGTTTTGCTCTTCACATGAATACAACATTACAGGTTCAAAAACGCAAGGGCAGGGTGAAGCAACTTCACGCCTTCTCTAAGTAGGGAAGAGGATTGTGGTGGGAGTTTAGTGCCGGGTATTAAATGAACTCATGAGAGAGAAATCATGTTGCCAAAGATGGTGGGGAGCTAATGTGTGGGGTTGATGGAGCCTCTATGCACCCTGGCTGTGGGCACGCCATCTCTACATACTGAGTTCCCCACCAGCACAGTTGTGACTACTGTAAATAATCCAAGTGTGTGCACGGCTGTGTTGATGCCTTGGGTGGGTCCCGAGCGTACTGCAGTCATTTCTCATTCCTGTTTCTGTAGAGCTAGCTATCCAGAAGCTCTCTTTGCTTGACAGCCTTGCATCTTAAGTTTATAAACAGACTCCTCCGGTTGTGATGCTTATCAAGTGACCTTCTCATGCTGACTTGGGCCCAGATAGGGCTTGAGCTTAGGGAGAACATGCTGGCCATGAGGACCAGGTACCTGCATACCAAATGTGTTGCGTAGTGTGAACATACTAGCTATTCTAACCCAGTTATAAGCTTCAGTGAATCTAGTACCTGAAGGTGCGTAGGAGGAAGATGTCTGGGTTCAGTCATGCATAGCAGTGATCAACAAGACAGTAACGGGCACCACGATGATGATTGCTTGATGGGGCTCTACCCACTAATCCATCTCTTTGACCCCTGCACATGGGTATGTGTGGGGAGTCTTTGAAGGGTGCATCTGTCCCTGGCTCCTTCCTGTAGACAGCTCTTTACTTCCTGGACAGGATGTGTGTGTGTAGCAGGGAGTCTTTGAAGGGTGCACCCATCCTCTCTTCCTGTAGGGAGCTTTCCACTTCCTGGCCATCATAAAGTGAGCAGCTTTGCTTTGCTACATCCTCCTGCCAGGATGTTCTACCTCACCAGCCCACAAAAGCAATGGAGCCAGCTGACCACAGACTAAAACCTCTGAAACCAGGAGACCAAATAAACCCTCTCTTCTTTCAGGTTGTTTTGTCCGGTGTTGGGTATTTGGTTACAGCAATGAAAGGCTGACTGGTGCAATTTATATCAGATATTGCTGAGAGCTTTTGCTGTTAATTTCTTACTAATAACCGTCTACTACTCCATACTGATAGACAGCACATCTTCCCAGCTGCCATCTGGAAGCAGACAGTTCTTACTCTCCCTACGTCTCCGTCCCTACATTCTCATCTAAGATTCTGCTATTGATCTAATTCTGGTAACAGTCTTTTGTGTAGCTATCTATTCAGATGTCTGACAGGTACCCAGAACTTTCTGTATCAAAAATTAAATGTATTGCCTTGCTCCTCTAGGTCTCTGCAGCTTGTCCAATTTGTGCTTCCCATATTTCCCTGCCCTTAGCCTCTCAGTAACGCCCACCCCTCTCTCTCCAGAGACTGTTTTCTTAGCATTTTGCATGGTCAAGTCTTACGGACTCTTCAAACCTCAGTTCAGAAGTCTCTTCTAGGGAGGCCTTTGGCATTTCGGAGTGTAAGCTGTCCTTACTTGCTGTGTAAGTAAGCATTCCAAAGCGCTAGGAATGCTTCCTGTGGCTCCCACCATTTACAGTTTCTTATTCAAGACTAAGCCCTCTCTACAGGGCATGTACTCAAATGTGTGTGTGTGTGTGTGTGTGTGTGTGTGTGTGTGTGTGTGTGTGCATGTGTGTATTATTACTATATTATGCTGATTTTCTGATTATTTGAGTTTCTAACCCCATGACTCATCTACATTTTCACATTTATAAGCATATCTTGCTTTTCATTATAGTTGCTATATCGCTAACTCTATCCAGTGCTATACTGAAGTGCATGTTAAGAAATGACAGAAGCACATGACACTCATTTAAAGCAGGGTCTCTGTGGTATTAATACCCATCTAACCCTGTCATCAAAACAAGTTCTGAAGCGGTAAACGCTTCTAGAAAATCTGAAACCTATATATCCATCCCAGCCTAGGATGTTTTAGCTAAGAAGACTACTAATGGCTTTATATCAGTTTTTTTAAAACTCTGCCTTTATCTACTTATGTAATATATTATGAACCTGCTTATTAATAAATGTAACAGGTTCTCTTAGCCTTTAGTTTGTCAAGAAAGGAAACATTATTCTAAGACAAGGTAAAAAAATAAAAAAAAACCTAAAAAATATTTAAAAAAGAAAGAATGGATGGGCTTCTTGTGTGGGCCATTCCACACATCAGAGAAGAGAATGAAAAATATCTGCAAAGTACAAGTAACTGAAATACAAAGAAAACAAAAATAAAGGAAGAAACAGAAATATCTTCCATCTTTACCATTCTCAGCCATGACGGTAAAAAGCCTTTATACAGGCTCAGGAAGCCTTCCCCTTGAACAGCCTGGAGTAAGCAGTCAGTCGATGACTTATACAAAAGTCCTCTGGAAGAAGAAAAGAGCCTTTGTCAAATTTCATCACATATAAACATAGATGTAAACGGAGCCATCCAAGGAGGGTCATTATGAGCTAAATAGTTTCTGCTTATTTAGAACAGACAGTATCACTGTTCTGTTCACATAGGTATCTTCATTTGCTTTTAGGCATTTCCTTGCTGACTTTTTTTTTCCCCATGACCCCCTTGGTCCTCTCTAGAGTTCAGTCCATCTGACCTCTTCCAAAGAGAACACGCTGTTTAACACCATATCAAATTCTGTTACCTGAAAGGCCCACGCCCTGCAGGGTGGTCTACAGATTCTCAGCAGAGTATGCTCTCTGAATGCTTTGAGAACAATAAAGTCACAATGCCTTCTTTGTGTCTAAATAACATGACTGTTAGCTCAATTCCCCAAAGGCTTAGCGTAGTTTCATCAGATAAAGAGAAGGTAATTTCATATGAACAGCTGCCTTGCTCAACAGGAAAACACAGGAATACATCTCTATTGCATAAATGTTGTGGGATGGCTTTGTGCATAGTGTTTTTATTTCTGTACCCAGAGATCTGGTTGCCATCCAAACGCTGGCATTTGTATTTCTATGAATCATCTCCTGTCTCAATGTTGTGTAAGAATTGTTCTCCAACACTTCTGATTGTTTAATAAAGAGCCGAACAGCCTATGGTTGGCATGAGAGAGAGGTTCCCAGGTGGAAGAGGGATGAGGAGGTCATCATGACAACATGGATGGAGCATGAGCAGCTGGGGTGAGACTAGTTGGCAGGTAACAGGGCATGTGTCTGAGAAGTAGGCAGGCCAGGCCAGGCAGGTCCGGTTAAAATAGATGAGTAACTGCCCAACTATAGTGATTGAAGCTTATTAATAAATGTAATAAGTCTCCGTGTCATTATTTGGGAGCTAGAGCGGGCATTAAAAAGACCTTTAATTTTACACACAGATCTACAAGAAAGCATCTTTTAAATACCCAGAGTGCCACAGACACTCCAGCACATGGGCACTAAGGGCTTTATCTACCTTCCTTGTTTGTCTCGAGGCTGGTTCATTATTCGGCTTTTGATGACATCAGCTGGTGTTCCCAGGATAGAGGCTACCAGTCCAGAACACAAACTGTAGGGCACAAATAGTGAAATTTAAAGAGAATAGTCCATATCTCCCAAATTCTAGGTATAGGCATTTGACATTTAAAAAGAACACAGTGCAAAAGACTCCTTGAGATTAAAACTAATGCGTAATTCAGTAAAGAGAAAAAGGCACTTAAAGCCTGACCAGTCAGTAGCTATGTACCTCCTGGAACTAGGCTTCTTTTTATAGCAGGCAACAGGACAGACAATATTCTCCCTTTGAGATCGCTTGGGAAATAAAGGTGCTTATCAGGCAGGCTTGATGACCTGCATCCTGATTTTAGTTCCTAGAACCCACAGAAGGAGAGAGCTGAGTCCTGAAATTTGTCCTTGACCTCCACATGCATGTTCTGGCATGCACACAGACAAGAAAGGAAAGAAAGAAAGAAAGAAAGAAAGAAAGAAAGAAAGAAAGAAAGAAAGAAAGAAAGAAAGAAAGAAAGAAAGAAAGAAAGAAAGAAAGAAAGA